AAAAGCAGGATGCGATATTTCATCAAGCCTAGACCGTAGGCTTTGGTTGAGATGAGTGAGTGGGTGGGCCCTCAGGGACTCAATGGAGTAGAGAAACAGAGAGAGGTCACCAGGAAAGGGTGGAGAGAGCCTGCAGGGCTTGAGCTAGGCTTTAGAAATACGCTCTGCTTAGGCGGATGGGATAACAGAGCATTCTGAAGCAGTGGCTGCTAGTGTTCTTATTGTGATCCTCCAATAAGAAATATATATATATATGTGTGTGTGTGTGTGTGCTTTTTAAGAAGAAATTAATTATTCTTTAAAAAATACACACACACACACATAGTTTTTTGAGACGTCTCACTTTGTCACCCAGGCTGGAGTGCAGTTGTGCAGTCTCATTTCACTGCAACCTCCACCTCCCGAGTTCAAGCAATTCTCGTACCTCAGCCTACCAAGTAGCTGGGGTCACAGGCATGAGCCATGGCACCCAGCCAAGAAATATATTTTATATCATCATTCAGCATACACATACATGTAATAAACAAAAGCTTCATAAGACATTTAACTTTATTAAAGGTGGTACATCTGATGTTTTCTATTTTTCAATTTTTTTAACATGTTAGGTTAACCAATAAGCCATATAGTGTTCATATAGTTGAAAACTATAGGAGGACCAGAAGCCCAGTGTGGAGGCATAGCCAGTTCTTTCCTATGGAGGGCATGCTAGTTAGAAGAGGGAATTTTCATGGGAAGCGGTGAGAGGTGATATTGTTAGTTTGATGGTGGTCTCCAGAAGCCTTCATTGATTCTACAGTATGAATGAATTACTCTGGGATGTTATGATAAAATTTCAAACGTCACCTATTTATTTGACCAGCTCTACTTTTGGACAGTAGATTGACCAAAGTGACTTTTTGAGATGTCTTTTGATGCTTGGGGTTGGGGGGTGAGGAGAGGAATTTGCTTCTGGATTCCAAAGAACAGTGAGTCAAAGTGCTTATAAGACATCTGTTTTGTCTCATGTTGTGATTGGCTATGAGAATTTCTGTATAGAATACAGTACTGGAGCTGGGCACGGTGGCTCACACACCTGTAATCCCAGCACTTTGGGAGGCCAAGGCAGGAGGATCACTTGAGACTACCCTGGCCAACATAGTGAAAACATATCTCTACTAAAAATATAAATATTAGCTGGGTATGATGGTAGATGCCTATAATCCCAGCTACTCAGGAGGCTGAGGCAGGAGAGTTGCTTGAACCTGGGAGGCAGAGGTTGCAGTGAGCCAAGATCATACCACTGTACTCCAGCCTGGGCAACAGAGTGAGAATCCATCTCAAAAAGAAAAAAAAAAAAAAAGAATATGAAACTGGATACAGTAGTTTTATAGGAGAAGATGAGAAGATGAAGGAAGTATCTCCATGGGCAAGTTTAGGAAGGAAAAGGGATGGCATCTTGAGTGCTGTGCTTCTGGAAGGAGCAAGGGGTAGCCAGTTGTGCATAGCAGAGCTAATCGCAAGTATGATTAGTGGCCTGGCCCAGAACTAGACAACTCTGCTACTGATCAGAATCTGGATTCCTGGATCACAGGTCTAATTGAGACCCTTCTTGGCTGCCACTTTTAGCAAGGTTGTGAGAATTTTAAGAGTAAAACTCTTTTAAAAATATTTTATTTTTAGAGATGGCGCCTCACTGTGTTGTCCAGAGTGGTCTCAAATGCCTCAAGCAATCCTCCTTCTTTGGCCTCCCCAGTAGCTGGGATTACAGTTACGAGCTACCATGCCCAGCAGGAGTAAAATTCTTACCTTCTCTGCTCTTTTCCCAACCTAGCATCTGCTTTCTGTGAACCCCATCCGCAGCACTTATTGAACGGTATTGTGGATTACTTATTGAAGATTTGCTTGTTCTCTGTCTGCTCCAAGAGAAAAGTCAATTCTGGCCGGCATTGAGGAGAGCCTCTAGGTAGAAGAGAAACATTTCAACTCACTAGAAATGTAGCACTGACCTTGTCCTCCAAAGAGTAGGATGGGAAGGATCTCTCCCGCCATGTCTTATAGAAATTGAACTCCCTTAAAGGTCCATGTGGAACTAATTTCCGGGAACCCTTGCAATCGCATTTTTCTCTACTTGAGAGTGGAGTGCCTTAGCAACGTTGAAAAGGAAAATCCTTTCATGTGGCCGTTCCTTTGCTTGAGTACTTTCAGTCCTGTCCTCTGAGGTTTCATATCCTTTTGATCTTCCCAGTCCAGTTTTAATTTGTTCAGTTTAGGTTAGAGAAGGATTTTGAAAAACAATACTTCTCTCTTTTAGGATTATATAGGTAGGGATCATTGGTCCTAAATGGTCTTCGGTAAACTTTCCCTCCCTTTTTTCTTTGCTTGTATAATGCTCTCTGGGGGAAATAAGCTGCACTGTGTTTCTTGGAGCTTGTCCATTTGCTGCAGTTGTTTGTACAGTTGTTAAGCTATGCTTTCAATTCCACCACTAACAAATGATTGTGTGAGAAACGCCGTAATTCTTGTGTTTCCCTTCAATAGGAAGCTTGATTGGTAACTGAATTCAACATCTACTGTCTTCTTTGTGAGTAAATTGCTGTATTAGGAGCGTGGCTGAATTGGTCCAGATACATTCTTACTCTGTTACACATATGAAGTCATCAAGGAGAGCTGCACTGTTCTGTGCGGTAGCCCCTGGCTAACGGCACATGAAGTCTCAAAGTTAAAAATTCACTTCTTCAGTAGCACTAGCCACATTTCCAGTGCTCAGTAGCCACAAGTGGCTCATGCAGTATTGACATTTTGGGCCAGATTATTCTTGGTGGAGGTAGGGCGCCTGTCCAGTGCATTTGTGCATTGTAGGCATTCAGCAGCACACCTGGCCTCCACCTACTCGATGCCAGTAGTGCTCTGTAGACATAACAATGAGAATGTTTCCAAAGATTGCCAAATGACCCCACGGGGGCAAAACAAATCCTGGTTAAGATTCACTGGCTTTGTGGCTATCGCATTCAAAACCTCAGATAGAGAACATTTTCATGATGGCAGACACTATTGTTCTAGAATAATCCCTACCAGAATTTGGGGAATTTTATGTAATAAGAATTTTGAGCTTTGGAGGAATCATAGTGGACAGTCCAAAGTCTGGGGAAACCGAATCACAGAAAGATTTATGGGTGACTTAAAGTCACACAACATGTGTCAATCTGGAGTCCTGGACTTAAATTTCATGCAGCCCAGAGAACAAGCTGCTGATTTTTTTCAAACCTGCACTCAGTGTTGGGTGAGGGGGGAAGACAGAGTCCTAAAAACTGGGAATGGGGCTGGGCACAGTGGCTCACGTCTGTAATCTCAGCACATTGGGAGGCCGAGGTGGGCAGACCACCTGAGATCAGGAGTTCAAGACCAGCCTGGCCAACATGGTGAAACCCTGTTTCTACTAAAAATACAAAAATTAGCTGGGCATGGTGGCACATGCCTGTAGCCCCAGCTGCTTGGGAGGCTGAGGCAGGAGAATTACTTGAATCTGGGAGACAGAGTTTGCAGTGAGCTGAGATTGTGCCACTGCACTCCAGCCTGGTGACAGAGCAAGACTCCATCTCAAAAAAATAAATAAATGAAAATAAAAACTGGGAATGGTTCAGTCCTGAGACATTCAGAGATGCAAATTCTGGGCATGTCTCTTTTCTCTCTCCCTGACTTGTGGCTTTAAGACCCTGGATAGAGGCTAGGTTTGGGAGGGCGACTGGGACATTTGGTGGACAAACTCCTGTTGGGTTTCCTCATTTCCATCAGTATAGAGATTGGTGACATACTCCTGGGGCCATGGAAGCCTGACATCCTGTGAAATTTCTTTTTTTTAATCTTTTAAATCTTCAGTATCTCCTCTGCCTGCTTCCTTGTAGGTGTCCATGGTAAAGATGTTAATACGAAATAACCTGGAGATTCATCTCTTGAGAGGCCACAGGAAGCAGAGTCTATAAAAAGCTTTGGGAATGGGAAAGGAGTCTTGCCCAGGGTGTGGTGTCCCCAGCTGAAGGGGTCAGAAAGTGGGCTTAGCTCAGGGGCCTGGTGTAGGAAATGACTGGAAGGCAGCCTGGGGTTGGAAAGTGCCCGGCGTCTTCCCTTCGTCCCCTCTCTCCTGCATTAATCCCATGTGCTTCCACACCTCCCAATGACTCCTTAGTCACTGGCCCTATTATTCTCTCATTCCTCTGCTCCCAAACCTTCAGTGGCTCACTGCTGCCTTTCATGTCTTTCTTAATCTTACATTCAGGGCCCATTTGCTCTTATATAAAAATCATCTCTTTCCCTCCTAAGTCTAGAAACAGTTTTGCACACGAGTGCCTTACTGTTACTGTGGTTTGCAGAATTACTCAGTTGGGGTTTGGCATTGACAGTGATTGAGGCTTTGCTCAAAGCTCTTTGATGTTTCATAGCTTGTTCAGGAAGAAGTCTTGTTTCTGGTGAGACTTTGTTAAGTTGGTAGCTTGGACAACTGCCTAAAATCCGTGTGCAGCTCAAAATTCAGGGCCTGTTAAACAGACCAGGAAGAGAGGCAATCAAAGCAGATCGAGAACTGTGTCTCTGTCCACCTTGGGTAACCTCGAGCTGCTGGTTTTGTTCTGTAACACGGTGGACTGAGTGAGCTGTGGATGAAGTCAAAGGCCAGTGCGCTGGGGAACAGCTGTCTAGTTCAGCTAGAAATGAGCTAATGTTTAAACCGGCCTTGAGCTCTTTTAAAGTTGCTTCATATTCCCAGTGTTAGTTAAAAGAAGTGACTTTATCTCAGAGTTTGGTGACTGGCCGTGATTTCATTGAACTATTTATGTTTTCTTTTGGTAAAGTGGCATTGTTGGGTATCTCCATGGTGAAGGGGAAGGTATTTAAAAGCATGCTCACTTGAGAGCAGGTTTTAATTTGAGCAACGGGAGGGTGGAAGGCTGTGAGGACCGCAGCCCTGCTGGTCATTGAGGCTGTGGCTGATGTTGTTCACGACCTCTGTTTCTTCTCTTTCTCTCCAGACCAATGAGTGGAACAAGAATGATGACCGGCTGCTGCAGGCTGTGGAGAATGGAGACGCGGAGAAGGTGGCCTCACTGCTCAGCAAGAAGGGGGCCAGTGCCACTAAACACGACAGTGAGGGCAAGACCGCGTAAGCTGAAAACCTGGTTTGCAGATGTGCTGGTTCTGGGTTTTTGGGGTATTCTCTGGAATCCTTAGTATCCATAGAGGAATTTCACACATGTTCCCTCCCCACTCTCATGTTGAAATATGTTAGAAATATTTTAATCTAGCTCCTTTCCCTCCAAATTCCAAGTCACACATGAAGCTTTACCTTGAATGGGGATACATGTTCCCAGTTATAAGCAAAGGTTTTACCTCCCAAGATTGCAACCAACTGTAGGTAAAACATGAATTCTGTCTTAGATAAGAAACAGCATAAAACAGAATAAAATATTTTCCTATAACCCTCAAACCGTACTGTTAATTTATCTTAAACTATTTATTTGAGCTTCCTTAACAGATCAGTAAGTACATGAGTAGTATGATTTTGCTCTGTGTGGTACTCTTGCTTGCCAAAATTAAAGCTATATATTTAAGTATTTGTGTGTGTTTGTGCATGTGCATGTATTGTTTATATCCATCCTTATGTTGGAAGTGTTGTGGAGAAAGCACTGACCTTGGAGCCGGAAAGATGTCTCACAGGAGCTCTATCACTTATGAGTTGTGTAATCCTTGAGCCTCAGTTTCCTTATTATAAAATAAAGATGTCGGGCCGGGCGGGGTGGCTCACGCCTGTAATCCTAGCACTTTGGGAGGCCAAGGCGGGTGGATCACGAGGTCAAGAGATTGAGACCATCCTGGTCAACATGGTGAAACCCCATCTCTACTAAAAATACAAAAAATTAGCTGGGCATGGTGGCACGTGCCCGTAATCCCAGCTACTCAGGAGGCTGAGGCAGGAGAATTGCCTAAACCCAGGAGGCGGAGGTTGCGGTGAGCCGAGATCGCACCATTGCACTCCAGCCTCGGTAACAAGAGCGAAACTCCATCTCAAAAAATAAATAAATAAAATAAAATAGAGATGTTATTAGTTAACTGTTAGAGTGGTTATGAGGACAAAATGAAATAATATTGTAGGTTGGGTGCTCTCAGAAGCAGGTTCTACGACAAGGATTTCAGTGCAAGTAGTTTTATTTTTTTTAACATGTCAAATGATATTTGTGTAATTACTATGAAACACACAAAGTAGTAGTACATATTATTTAAGTATGTATACACACATACAATGCAAGCAATTTCTGTAGCCAGTGATCCCAGAAAGCATGGGAAAGGAAGACACCTATATTTTTAAGGTGTGTTTTTGACAGGTTCCAACTTTGTCACTCTTTCTTGATGAGGATTCTGGGAATCTGTTTAGACCTAAAACAGGGTTTGGCTATGCTGCCCAGGCTGGACTCGAACTCCTGAGCCCAAGCAATCCTTCTGCCTCAGTCTCCCAAGTAATTGGGTCTACAGGCATGTGCCACCATGCCTGGCTACTCTCTGTTTTTATAAATAAAGTTTTATTAGAACACAGCCACACCCATTCATTTAGGCATTGTTTATGACTGCTCCCACACTACAAAGGCAGAGTTGAGTAGTTATAGCAGAGACTACATGGCTCACAAAGCCCAGAGTATCTGGCCTTTTACAAAAAAGGTTTCCTTATCCCAGGTTTATAGTATGCCTCAGAGTTATTCCACCCAAGGGGTAAGGAACCTGGGATATCTGACCCTTATCTCCTCTCCCTTATAGTTTAAGTGCTGGCCGAGTGCGATGGCTCCCACCTGTAATCCCAGCACTTTGGGAGACTGAGGCAGGCAGAATCACTTGAGGTCAGGAATTTGAGACCACCCTGGCCAACATAGCAAGATCTGTCTCTACTAAAAATAGAAAAATTAGACAGGCATAGTGGTGTACACCTCTAATCCCAGCTACTCAGGAGGCTGAGGCAGGAGAATTGCTTGAACCTGGGAGGCGGAGATTGCAGTGAGCTGATATCACACCACTGCACTCCAGCCTGGGTGACAGAGCATGACTTTGTATCAGGAAAAAAAAAAAAAAAAAAAGGTTGAGTGCTACTCTAGGGGCCATCATGGTCATGGCCAGAAAAAATCTTAGGGGTCCCCAACCCCCAGGCCACAGACCCGACCAGATGAGCATTGGTTGTGCAAGCAGCTTCCTCTGTATTCACAGCTGCTCCCATCACACACATTACAGTCTGAGCTCTGCCTCCTGTCAGGTCAGCGGCAGCATTAGATTCTCATAGGAGCACAAATGCTATTGTGAGCTTCAGGGGATCTAGGTTGTGCACTCCTTATGAGAATCGAATGCCTGATGATCTCTCAGTGTCTCCCATCACTCCCAGATGGGATGATCTAATTGCATAAAAACAAGCTCAGGGCTCCCATTGATTCTACATTATGGTGAGTTATATAATTATTTCATTATATATTACAGCATAATAATAATAGGAATAAAATGCACAATAAATGTAATGCGCTTGAATCATCCCAAAACCATCGTCCATCCCTGGTCTGTGGAAAAATTGTCTTTTACAAAACTGGTCCCTGGTACCAAAAAGGTTGGGGACTGGTGGCCTAAAGGGATGTGGGAAGGGCACTGTCAGCTGTAGGTGGCATAGCACACAGCCCACAGTGGGCACTTGATAAAGACAGTCACCTTCCCTGCTCATCCTAGCTGAGTAGTTCTTAATTGTGGCAGCTTCTGCATTCAGATCACCTGGAGTGCTTTTTAAAAATATTGATGCCATGGCTCACACATGCAACCCCAACGCTTTGGGAGGCTGAGGCGGGTGGATCACCTGAGGTCAGGAGTTTGAGACTAGCCTGGCCAGCATGGATAAACCCTATTTCTACTAAAAATACAAAATTAGCTGGGCGTGGTGGCACATCTCTATAATCCCAGCTACTCTGGAGGCTGAGGCAGAAGAATCACTTGAACCCAGTGAGGCAGAGGGTTGTGGTGAGCCTAGATTGTGCCATTGCATTCCAGCCTTGGGAACAAAAGCGAAACTCCATCTAAGAAGAAAATATATATATATATTGATCAGTTGCTTGGAATCCCTTGGTCTGGGGAGAGGCCCAGGAATGGAGAGTTTTTGTTCCAAGGTGGTTGGTGGTAGATGCTGGGGCTTTTCGCTTCCCTTTTGAACCACTTCTCGGCCTTCTTTCCCCTGCTCTACCCAGTCCAGGTTTGCACATGTTTGTGCAAGACAGCCTCTTCGAGTCATCCCAGAGAAAGAGGAGAGAAGTGTCTGTGACAGTTTTGTTCAAGATAGTACTTACTAAAGAGAAAACAAAAAATTTAGATGAGCCGCTTAGCTACAATTGTGATCACCTTAACAAATTTGAACCTTTTCTTCATAAGGTATTTGTTACATGTAGAATAGATGGTCACACTGTTATTTTATGTTCTCTCTCTCTTTTTATTGTGGTAAAATGTCTATTAGATAAAATTTACCATTTTAACCATTTTAAAGTATACAATGTAGTGGCATTAAGTATATTCACGATGTTACACAACTATCGTCACTTTCTAGTTCTGGAACTTTTTCATCAACCCGAAGGAAACCCTGTACCCTTGAAAGACTCACTCCCAACCTCCCCTCCACTCCCCTGGCAACCACGCATCTGGTTTCTGTCTCTGGATTTGCCGGCTCTGGATATTTTTTATAAAAGTAATCGTATAATATGTGGCCTCTTGTCCCTGCCCCTTTCACTTTACATAATGTTTTCAGGGTTCATCCGCGCTGTAGCTTGTGTTGGTACTTCATTCTATTCTCTTTTCATAGTAGACATATACATAGCAGTTACTTAAACGTCACCACTTCCATTTTGCAGATAATAAAACTGAGGCCCACATAACACAGCTCTCCCTGAATTTACCTGTGTGTGTGTGTGTGAGTGTGAGAGCGGGGGGGAGGGGCAGGCAGTGTTTCACTCTGTCGCCCAGGCTGGAGTGCAGTGGTATGGTCACAGCTCACTGCAGCCTCAACCTCACAGGGTCAAGCGATCCTCCCACCTCAGCCGCTCATTTAGCTGGGACTACAGGCATACAACATTGCACCCAGCTAATTCTGGTTTTCTTTTGATTTTGTAATGATAGGGTCTTGCTGTCTTGTCTTAATGATCCTCCCACGTCAGCTTCCCAAAGTGTTAGGATTACAGGCATGAGCCACCATTCCCAGCCTTCTATTTTCTAGAGAGCTTTTGTGGTAATTTTGCTCTGGAATCTACAGTTGCGTGTCCATCTAGAGGCTTGATTTTGACCCCCAAGGCCTTTTCTCTGGCCCTACCCCACTGACTTACATCCTCTCTCCCTGCTGTTTCTTCTGGAGGTGGAGCTGTCTGCTCCTGCCCTTGCCACAGGTCAGAATGTCCACTTGTGCACCCAGGTTCTATGTCCAGTCCAAAATGCCATCCTCCCTGGTTCTCTTCATCTTTTATGACTTTTCTTCTCTTTGAAATACTAGAAATCTTGATTTAGAACATGGTATATTTATTTTATTTTATTTATTTAGTGATGGGGTCTTGCTATGTTGCCCAGGTTGGATTTGAACTCTTGGGCTCAAGTGATCATCCTGCCTCAGCCTCCTGAGTAGCTGAGACTATAAAGGATGTACCACCACACCCACCTTTATTATATCGAATGAACAGGAACAACAACAGAAATGTCTCCATTCTAAGAACACCCTTGTTTTCTGTAAGGCTTGAATCCCACATAGTACGGTAAAGCTCCCTAGGGACAGGGATGGTATAATCTTGTTGTATTGGTCTTTCACATTGTTCTAGACCCAAAGGAAGCCTTCAGTTGGGATTTGTGGACATAACTTTTCAGTATGATTCTTGTGGAGAAAACATTCTTTTTTTACTGATAATATCTTATGGGTAAATTGCTTAGAAGTGAATTAACTTGGCTTCGGAGGGGAAAGTATTCTTCTGGTGAACATCACAACCTGACCTGGCTCTCCAGCTTCCAGGGCAATTTAAATAGAGAACTACTCAACCTTTACCACCTAGAGAGCCTGGCAGCCTAGAAAGTCCCAAGAATGTGGCAACAAAGGCAGCCATCTCCACAGACACTGGC